TTTATTTAAATATAGGCTTTCCAAAAGATGATTTGGTCATTTTCACCTTGTAATAGCAATCAAAGGTTATTACTCACTAGACCTTATGGTCTAACCCTCGTTTTGTTTTTAAAAATATGCATTACAGGTCGGGCACAAAGGGAAGTGAAATATGTGAAGGGGATTATTAATGTTTTACATCTGTAGACTTTTGAGAAGTTGATTATGTGCATGTATCTGAGAGTTTTCTTATATGCAAGTCATGTATTTGGTGTGAACAAAAAAACTTTGTAGCTACTATTGTATGTAGCAATTTGTATATATTGAGAGCTATGTATGATAATTGTATTTCTTGTTATATGGAATATGAATTTTATGCAAATGAGAGTTGAGTGTTACAGTAGTTTCCACGGTAATCATAATATATTGAGTTTTCAAATGATTAATCCCCTGTATATATATATATATATATACACACACACACACATATATATATATATATATATACATAAACTTGGGATCATGTGAGACCAGCATGTTTTCGTGAGACCCGTGAGACCAGCATTTTACACTTGAAACTTCACAAGCAAAAATGCTGTGAAGGTGACTTTTTAAAACCTTCACAGTGTTTTTTGCTGTGAAGGTTCGACTTTTTAAAACCTTCACAGTGTTTTTGCTGTGAAGTTTACGTGTAAAAACGTGGTTTCACGGGTCTCACGAAAACAGGCTGGTCTCACGTGAACCCAACCCTATATACATATATATATGAATGCAAGTATACATATACAATATACATATATTAACAAATACATTTGCAATGTATGTAAATACATGCTTTTCATATACGCACATACATAAATATGTTTACCACATATATACACAGGTGAAGATTCAAACTAGAACACCTACATTTTACGAGAACACATTTATCACAAGTGATAGTACATGTGAGGGGCCTGGTGGTGTGTGGACGACGTGCCTTGCGACTTAGGCCGCGCCAAAGATCATCTGCGTCTATGATCTAGTATCACATATGATAGATGTAGTATCACATCAAGAACAATGTTATCACATGTGATAATACATGTGAGAAAGTTTAGTGGTGTAAGGACGACTTGGCTTGCAACCTAGATCGCGTCAACAATCGTCCACATCTCTGATTTAGTATTACATTTGTATCATATATAATAAAATATAGTATTATATGTGATTGTCTATAATAAAAATGGTGTTATAGCATTCTCATAAAATAAAGATGTTATCGTTTGAACCATTCCTTATATACATATATCCACTACATACATACATATACACATCTACATCTACTATACATACCCACTATATACATATATCTCATTTTATATAAGCATAAGTTCACTACATACATATACATACATACATACATACATACATACATACATACATACATACACACATATCTACATTTACCACATACATATTAATATTGATAAATTTACCACATACATATTAATATTGATAAATTTACCACATACGTATACACACATACATTCTTACATATTTAAATGTCTACATTCACCACACATGTATATACTTACTTATACACATACATACATGTATATTTTAAATAAAAGTTCAATAAAATTAAATATTAAAAATTACACAAAAAACGAAACCAACTTTACTTTAATTCTTATTTTGAGAATAAAATTTTCAAAATAACCATTTAAGAGTCTAAACGAAACTTTACATATATTTAAGGTTTTGGTTTATTTAATAACTTGATAATAATAACACGATTCAGGTCAATACTAACTAAGATGCATGTAATATTTAAAATGTAAATAATACAAATTTAATATTTAACGTGAAAAGAATATGTAAATTACCACAATTTTTTTAGAGCTTTTATTTGTAAAAAATATATGAGAAAGGTTCAAACGAGAACATCTTTATTTTACGATAACGTAAGAACACCCTTTTACTATAGACAATCACATGTGATACTATTATTCAATCACATATGTTACACATGTGATACTAAATTAGAGACATATACGATTTTCAATGCGATTTTGGTTGCAGTCCAAGTCGCCCTTACATCACTAAGCCCCCTCACAAGTATTATCACATGTGATAAAGTTGTTGTTGATATGATACTATAATCTATCAAGACCATCATATGTGATGCTAACTTATAGACGCAAACAACCTTTGGCGCGGTCTAAGTCGTAGAACACGTCGTCCGCACATCACGGGGTCCCTCACGCGTATTATCACATGTGATAAAGGTGTTCTTACATTCTCATAAAATGAAGGTGTTCTCGTTTCAACCTCCATATATATATATATATATATATCATATTATAACTATATTTTTGCTTTCAAAACTATACATATTACAACAAAAGTCTCTGACAACCAATTACTATTCACAACACTGAAATAAGTGGAATAATATGAATTGGAGTTTAAGCAATCAATACTCAAAACATAACTCACCCACAAGCAATGTTCCAACCAATCAAAATCAATTTTCAAAACCGAAATCAATTTCATAAGCAAACAAAAAACTCCAACTCGTTCATTAAAAACAAAATCGATGTTAAAATCAAATAAAAAATCATTTTGAGAACCAAACATAAAAATAGATTTCAAAATCAAAATCGATTTGGAGCATGTGAGCATGAACGAGTGAGGCGATGTTTTTGGTTTGTTGAGAAAAATCGTGTTTTGAGAGAAATCGATATTTGTTGAGAAAAAATCAATTTCAAAATCTTGAATGAGATTGTGGATGTTGAGAGAAATCGTATTTTGAGTTTGAGCAATTGTGAACGGGGAAAGCGATGCTTTAATCAAACTCTAGATCGGGCGGTTTTGTTACTTTAAAGAAACTGGTTGGAATGGAATTCAAATCCCTTCCACTCTATGATGGAATAATGAAATCCATGGTTTAGGAAATGTTTGTAATTCAATTCCGTTCACCATTTCAATCTCATCATATTCCGTCGAACCAAACACCCCTTAGTTTAGAGATTAAAGATTTACATGAGACAAGCTCTCCTGGTGTGTTCTCCATTAAGTGGGCGTACGATAGTAGTCGCCAGTGACGAGACTTCAAAGTGGCTTTACTCATTCTATTTTTCCAGTAAAACAATATTATGGTTTTGTTTTCCTTACAATGATTTATCGAAGTTTTTAAATTTCTTAAAATGACCGCAAAAGTTTTAATTATTCTATACCGTTAAATGAACCAATCTATTTTATATTTTTGAAATCTACCATAGAAGTCTTGTAGATTAACGTCATATATAGTTTATTGATGTTATAACCGGGTTTGTTGATTTGAAAGTTTGAGGTTATTTTTGAAAAGTTGTATAAAGTTAAAGGGTGTGTTTTGAAAAATTGATTTAAAATCTTTTAAACATCCACCGCCTCTTCTTATAAAGTATATATACATATGTTTTCTTTTATTTTGCTTCGGTTGGTAGGGTCAAGCGTAAGAAAGAAAGATATTATCTGGTTCATGGGTTCGAGCAAACAAAAGAAGAAACTATTGTGTTCCTATCTGGATTTTGTGTCGGTTTAAAGTCTACCATCTAATTGTGATTCAAGATGAGTTTTTATTTCAAAAGTTTTATTTGAAATGCTTTCAATAAGGAACCGTATGCGTTTCGAATTCGGGTGTTTCAGACACACCGATTTGCTATTTGTTAGCTTGATTGGGTTTTTGATATTGTATTATCAATTGTCCGGAATAAGGATGACATAATCAAGAGAGATGTATATTTTGATAAAGGTGTCATAATCAGGATATGTGTATATTTTGAAATAAGGGTAGCATAATCAGGAGATGTGTATATTTTGAAATAAGGATGACATAATCAGAAGAGATGTATATTTTGAAATAAGGATGACATAATCACGAGATATGTATATTTTAAAATAAATGTGACATAATTAGGAGAGAGATATATTTTGAAGTACGAATGACATAATCAGGAGGGATGTATATTTTGAAATACATGTGGCATAATCAAGAAAGATGTATACTGGATAAGAGTGATATACTCAATGGTTTTGTGATCACATGAGTTGTTATCGCATCAGTGTGATGCGAAGAGTTTGTGTTATCGCATCAGTATGATGTGACGAGTTGAATTGATCGCATCATTGTGGTGCGGCAAATGTGTTTATCACAGCTGCTTGATGCGACAAGGTGTGTTTATTGCATCTGTTTGATGTGATGAGATGGGGTTGTCTCATTATTCTGATGTGATGAGACGAGGTTGTCTCATTATTCTGATGTGATGAGATGGGTTTGTCTCATTCCTTGTGATGTGATGAGATGAGGATGTCTCACCCTTGTGATGCGATGAGTTAGTTGCCTCATCTGTATGGTGCGGCAAAATTGAGATTTAATGCGATAATTATTGTTTATATGTTAGATTTTCATAGATTGATTTTCCAAACTTCTTTTGGTGATTCTCATCATGTAATAGTTATAAAGAGATTACTTACTAAATCTTATGGTCTAATCCTTATTTTATTTTAAAAAATGTGTATTACAGATCGGACTCATCCAAAAGGTAAAAAGAAGGAAAATATGTGATTTGGAAAGTGTTATATAGCTTTACATATGTCATTTGATAAACCTGAATTTTTGTGGAAGCTGTGAAATAAATGAGCTATGAATTTGTTATATACAAGTCATGTAATTTATGTGAAAAAGTAAAACAAAAATTATTCGTCGCCTGAGAGATTCGAACTCTCGCGGGGAAACCCCATGTACTTAGCAGGCACACGCCTTAACCACTCGGCCAAAGCGACGCGTTGTTAAGGGTCACATTTATTTTATATATATATTAGACAAAATCAGTTAACGACACTGACCGAACCAACTAACCATGGCCCACCCCCTACTCTCGTCCATACAAAAATATCCAGAGCCCCCACCCGCCCTATCGATACCTTCCAAAGCAAAGCCTCCATGTCTTCAACCACCACCACTACCACCACCGACGCCGCCGCCGCCGCCGCCGCCACCGTAACCGCAGCATCCAATACATCCATGGACCGCCATACCTACTGGTGTCATGAGTGTGACATGAGCATCTCCCTCATCCCCTCCTCCACCACCGCCTCCCTTCTCTGTCCTCACTGCAACTCCGACTTCCTTGAAGAATTGGACTCTCCTATTACTTTCAATAACACCAGTAATGTCAACAACAATCCTAATCCTGATGATCACGACGATTCCAATCATGTATCATCTCAATTATTGTTTCCATCTTTTCTCGATCCGTCGTTACCGGCGGCGGATTATCCCACCACTTTCCAGTTCCCTCCTGTTGCCCCTTCCGATGACAACTTTCTCCTTGACAGCCCTTACTTTCACCGTGTAATTCATCACCTATTTAACTCTGAAGATTCCTCTCCTTCCACCACTGCTACCACCTCTCGACACCACTCTCCTGCATCGAAATCTGCTATTGAAGCTATCCCTTCGGTTAAGATTACATCTGCATTCCTTGAAATCGATCCGATTGTTATATGTGCTGTTTGCAAGGATCAGTTTGTAATTGATGATGAGACGAAAGAGCTGCCTTGTAAGCATATGTACCATCCTGACTGTATACTTCCTTGGCTTTCGCAGCATAATTCGTGTCCTGTTTGTCGGTTCCAGCTGCCTACGGAAGCGGTAGATGGAGATTTGAAAGTGAGGAGGAGGTCAAGGTCTAGGGTTTTGAGGTTGGGGGACTTAATAGACGATGAGGATGATGAAGAGCTGTTAGGGTTTGGATTGAGGCACCTTGCTCGGAGGCACCGACTTGTGTTTCCAATGAGACACCATCACTACCGGCATCCACAGGTGGAAGAGGAGGAGCCGGAGGTCTTGTTTTCTTCTACTCAAATCGGAGAGGAGGTTGCGGTGGATGTGCTACCTGATTCGGGGCGGACGAATAGCGTAGAGACTGTGTCCAGTTGGCCAAGCTGGCCTGTTGACGTAGGAGCTGTGGATGGAGGTGAGATTGCAGTGAGCCCTGCTGGAGTCAATGATGATGCTGATGTGGTGATGTCTTGAACATTGCAACTAGAGGCTCCGTTTCAGTAAACTTAAGGTATGTTTTTCTTGATTGCACTTGCAAGATTACTGCTTTATTTGTTTCAGTGGCCTTTTTCTTTCTGCATCTCTATTACAAGACCACTTATACTTGATCATGGCAAGTGGCCTTGTTGCTGAAATCAGAATCATTGCATGCATATGATTGTATAACCTACGAATACATACAGAGTTATGTTTCAGAACAATATCCATATCTACATGGCCTTTGTCTTGGGCTTGTTTGGACAAGGAGAACTTAATGTCATTGTTCTTTCCTTTTACAGCTAAAGCTGCGCCATCTATGCAGCTATGCCTATCTTTTCCTAAAACTAGCTATGGGTGAGCTAGAGAAATTGGTTTGTGAATCTATTGTTTACTAATTAGGATGTAGAATATGGGGAGGAACAGCGTAGGAGGTTGCTGTGTGAAGGAATAAGGTTTAGACTTCAGATGGCAAAGTGCACTTTCGCCCATGACACTTTTTGTCAAATGTGTGTGGGATGTGGGTGTGTACAGGAGTGAATGCTTAGATTTGAATTGAATCCTGAAAAAGTTAATTAGTCACTATGCTCTGAAGCATCTTATAGTTGCAACAGAAAGAATAGGGGAAGCATCCTTGGATGTAGATGTAGGTGGATGAGAGGTAGGGCTCATTATGAAGTTCAAAACGTTGTGTAGATTTGGCCATTTGGGTTAAGGACATGGAGTGGATTTTGATGTCACTTAACATGTTCATTTATCTGGTGATGGAAGCTTTTAATTCCAAAATACAACAAAAAGGTAGACTAGACTGCTATGTGAACTTGAATTTTTGCATCAGATAGAAACTGTGGACTAGCAGCACCTAATTAGACAGGCCCAGGAGGTGCTATTCATAATATGCATTTTGTAATTGCATCAGGAGATAATTTTGCATCATCTTGGTGCTCGAATATAACAAAACTAGAACGATAGGTTGGAGTTGTTTATTATTTGAGTGTAAACTGCTTTGGTACATTCAACACACCTTACTCACATGGTCTCCTATCTCCTACATGACCTTGAGGCCACCCTTAGGGTTTGAGAGTTGTACATTCTTGCCTGATATGCACCACCTGCTGTTGGCATGCTCTATTTGCGTTCCATATTTTTTCCTATCATGTCCATCCCAGTATTAAGGTTGATACTGTGAACATTTATCACCTTACCTATGTATATTATTGTTTTTTTCTTCTAGATTCTCCCCTTGTCCTTGAAGTTTACTTTTGCAATCCTATCAAAATTTATCATTTGATGCATAACTGATACTTTAGTCTCTTCTCTCTCTATATAAGAAGACTCTTGTACAAGACTACAACAAACTCCTTAAATATCAAGAAAGCTATAATGATATCCTTTAATCTTTTCTTTTCTGCTTGTTCTATTTGGTGTTTTGAGTTTGATGGATACATCAGAGTACAACCCTCAACAGTACTTATGTTTATCACCATATTTGGGACAATATAATGATATCCTATATGTGGATATTAAGATTAGCATTAAGGAGGAATAGAGACAATCACACAAAAAGATTGATGAGAAAATATTTTTGTTAATGCAAATATCTGGATACTATGAACTGCAGTTCTTGGGACTCAGCTGTCCATCCTTGAAGCTTCTGATACGTGTCGAACCTCGAGTCTGAGTATGATGGCTTAACAGGATCACCATGAGGGAGTGTACGAGGAGCATTGACATTTTAGCATTTTACTATATCTCAATGTTGTAATTTTATGTATATTTGTCAAACTACTATACTTTACAGCCGAAGTTTAAAGCATATGCCAAGATGAATAGGCATCTGTAACAACCCGTCTCACATGGATAGAAAATTAGACTTGTGAGCTCCTTATATAGTTCAAATTTGTCGGCAACTCTAATAATTTCCACCATGGTTTTAAGTTGATTTGTATGTTATTGGGCTATAGGCGTTATGTGGTTAACTAGTGTTGTTTGGCAAAAATGTTCATGCATATTATGTGGTTAACTAGTGTTGTTTGGCAATAATGTTCAGTTTTACGTTGTTACTCGTATGCAGATGATGTATAGTGTCTCTTACAGTTCCAAGGTACCTCACTTGCATGAAAATTTAACGAAGTGTAAATCTGATGTGGATGGCCGCGTCAAGTCCTGGTGCTATATCTTACATGCTCTCTCATCTTCAAGGGGAGGCGGGGGAGCAAGTGATTTCTTTAATGTTACGTATCGTAAACATTTTTGGCTTGGAATTTTGTAATAAAGATTAAAGGGCCCGTAAAACGCCGGTTTTTTTTTCTTTCCTTTTTCTTTCTCATTTTCTACTACTAAATAATGGCCTCTTTTCTCCCTTGTTTGTGTTACTTTCCCATCAGTTGCAAATAATATGTAAGGCAGCATTGTAGGTTTTCTAGGATGTTGATGCAATTGCAATCTGATGCCATCAATCATTTCTTTTCTTTTGTCATCTTTTTCTTGCCATAACTGCTTGATGCATTTACCAGAAAACAAGAAGTTTTCATTCATGTCATAATTAGTGTGTGTAATACTTTGTCAAAACAGTTATGTTTTTTAAGGGAATGGAATGTGTGGAATTGAAATTGAATTGAATCAGGTTTGATCATGCGTTACAGTTGACAATAAATGAAATGAAATCTATTAAATGAATTAAAATATTTATGTTTGGTTCATTGGATATAACTTCGAAATCTTAATAAAAAAATGATAAATGACCAAAAAATTCTTGATAATAATATTAATTGCCGATGGTGACGGATGCAGTGGTGATAATGACGGTGGTGATGGTATGGTAGGGGCGATAGATAAATAATGATAACATGAGTAGTAATAGGGTTACATTTAGTGGAGAGCACGGGTCGGATTGGACCATAAACCGACGAAACCGATCGGGTATCATATTATGATCAGTTCCTTTATCCATGAAATTTGACTAGATTCATCAAAATCGACTTCCGTCATAAAATTTCGTCAACATAATTAACCATTGTATTCGGATTTCGTGAACACCAAAATCCCTCCAAGGCTCTTTGGCCGATCAGTTTCATGCTCATGTTTAAGGCTTGGTTGGAGTCGTGAATTCTTTCACTCCTAACCAAAACCAAACATAATGTACCTGATATTTCCTACTTGAAAGTAGGGTCTAAGAAGTAGCATGTACATAGACCATATCTCTATCTCAATGGATATATGTGTTGTTTTCGTGAGTCTCCACCTTGAGAAAAGTTTTGAAAAGAAGTTCTTATAGATAAGATTTTGAAGACCTAGACTATTGGTGATTTTAATGTCATCAAGCCATTTAGTATGATCGGGATTAATGTGAGACAAGTCGAAATTAAGAATTAGATGAATATATAAATTCAAAGTTAATATGTTTCAAGACCTAGACGGAGGTGCGGAGTGCACGTTCGAATAAGTTAAGTTGATCTGAGGTACGTAGGAGTCCGAGGGCAGCTCCCTTGGAAGGGTCCAAAGGGCAGAGCCCTGACCTAAAAATTCATCTGTATGTAAGAAATGGATCCCATCTCTTGAATAGTCGCGTCTATTGGGAACATACATGACTCCTGCCAAAAAAACCGACTTAACCGCCGGTGACTATATATACGATTTCGTTGCAGGGTGAGGATCTTTTGCATACTATTACTCTACTAAAATTATGTCTCTTAAGGTACATAAAACAAGCAAGGAAATTATGTGTTTGATCTTGGATTTTGTCTGAAATCCAAATCATTGTTCTTAGATTATCCCAAATATGATTTCATGGTACCCCAGTCTATATGGTCGAAATTACAGATTTTGGAAAGTGTTCAATACATAATCCTTGAATTATCCAAGTATATTGATATTCTGTTTCCAAAATGCTAACATAGACAACTTGTCACAAAAAGCATTTGATGATTTTGAATGGTTAAACGAGTATTTGAGACAATTGTCACTCATGAACAATTTGTGCTCCTAAACATTATTGTAATCTTCTGTTATATACTAGTAACGTACCCGTGTGTGGTACCTTATAAATCATTTTGGTCATGAAGTCAAGAACTCGAAACGACGATCTTATTTCAAGCTTTCTTTTATTCTCCGTCCCTTTCAATGTTAATTTTGGAACCTGTAATTGAAAAATAAAATGCAAAATTCGTGTTTGAAGAAGAATATGGTAAGAATACTAAAAAAAACTATATATGTTGTAATAAAAAATATTGAGTACGAGAATATTTCAGAAAGACAGATTGCTAGTAAAATAAAACAAATTAATTGGACATAAAAATTTAGGTGAGAAAAAAAACTATGATTGGTTGAATAACGTTTTCACGGTTTGAACTAACGAGGCTTCTAGTCAACCGATTAAGACTACTACTTCTTTATAGTAGACACTAGAATGATGGACTGTGAGAGGAAGCAAGTGAAAGTTATTATACCAGTTAGCAACCGCGATAAGAGTGAAACTAAAGCAGGAAGGAGATAAGCATGATCAAAGGAGGGTCTCTCTAGTTTACCTCTGTGCGAGCAAGTTCCTTCGAGCTGCTCGCATCGGGATACTATTACCTAGGTTCCTAAACTTGGAATGGATGGCAGAGCGTAACAACTTGTAATCAGGTGTCTTGTGAAATAATCACCCCCATGGTTAAACTGGTTTTCATTTTATATCCTCTATAAAATGAATTAAATAACTAATTATAAATGTATAAAATGTAACTTAGAAATTAAAAGTAATTTGATCTTCAATATATGGAAAATCGTAAGAGGTTATGTAATTTTAAGAGTTTACATATGCTTAATTAGTTGTACCTCTTAAAAATACAAGATAGCTATAACTCTTTTTATATAATCGAGTATATATATATATATATAGATGAGCGATCAAATGAAAATCACCCTCATTTGTACAAACCGTACAAACMACCCTCATACGTCGATTTTATTGTTTAATCTTATGAAATTTTTTCATGAAATTGTTTAATCATATGAAATTTTTTCATGAAATTGTTTAATCTTGTGAAATTGTTTCATATAATACTTTTTTTTATGAATTTGTTTCATATATGGTTATGAAATTGTTTCATATATGGTTATGAAATTGTTTCATATAATATTTAATGAAATTTTAATGAAACTGTTTCATGTATTTCTTTAAAATTAAAATAATGAAGATGATAATATCCATGATTAACACCCTCCACAATAAAAATGGTTAATCAACCTCTCATAATTATAAAATATGAACAAAATGAAATTTTTTGATTGGTTGAATGTGGTTTTCACTGTTTGTACAAATTGGATGGTTTTTGTTTGAACGCTCCTCTCTCTCTCTCTCTCTCTCTATATATATATATATAGACTTGGGATCATATGAGACCAAGATTTTTTCGTGAGACCCGTAAGACCAATTCTCAATCCTTGGATTAGATCTACAATCTCAACATTCATAATCACAAAATTGTCACGAAACTTCTCAATAATTACAAAATTGCCAATTTTAGATCATTAGATTATTAGTTTATAAAGTTGATCAATGAACATAAATTGATCTGACAGGTCTCACGAAAAACATTTGGTCTCATGTGAACCCAACCCTCTATATATATATATATATATATATATATATATATATATATATATATATTATTTACATTTAAAACTTGTTTAACTACATTAAATAGATCAAAAAATTGAAGTAGTTGCAAAAGGAAAGGGTTATATATGTAGCTTCCAAAAGGTCATCCCAAAATTGCAATTCAAAAAACTCTTCGTTATGCCAAAAGCTACAATACATTATTAAAACTTTATCAAAACAAAATAACACATTATTAAAGGGATGTTGGGATTAGTTATTTGAGTCAACTTATGTTTTTTTTATAAAAATGCTTATTAACTTATTATAAGTTAGAATAATTTAATTTTTTTTAAAATTATTTATTACCGGTATAAATTATTTATTCAAACACTTAAAAATACTTATTATCAATACTATACCATAATTAACAAGTTGTTTTTATAAACAATCCTAAACACCAACATTTAAAAATTGCTAATTTCCCTTTTGAAAAATATGTTCCAAAAAGATGGGTAGCATCACTAAATTGACAAGTCTACCCTGACGGCTTATGTTTCTCATTTTACACCTGTGTTTCGTTTTGGTTTGTTTACTCGTTCAACAACGCACCACCGATCCATTCCTCCCAAAACTCTTTCCAGGATTCGCGTCTCATCGTCACCATTCCTTTATCACTTCCTTTTCGAATCTAAAGGTACTACGCTCAACTCTTCTCCCTTACGATTTCAATCAATCATCATCTCACAACTTCAAATCCATTTTTCTAATTATAATTCCGACGATAAGGCATGAATGAAAACCGATTGATTTTGTATGATTTTAGAGTTGTCAGATCTGTGTTTTTTGTTCATATATAACCATTGTTTTTGCTGATTCCGCAGTGGAGTTTGTTCCTCAACGATGGTGTTCTACAGGAGTGTTTCGCTTCTTTCCAAGCTCAGAAATCGTGTTGTAAGTTGTTTTCTAATTTTTTTTTATGTCGGTGTTCTTTGTTAATAATCTTTTTTATAAGTCTATGGATGCCTATGCTTGCCAATTATGTTAACCCCACATTTTCTAATGAATAAGCTACATTTTGATGTCAAAAGCAAGTGCTTACCGATCACGAAATGGATATAGGGTCGTTACTAATTTATGGTCGATATTTTGATTGGTAATACAGTACCTTTTATGATGATTAATGTAGTTAATATTCAAACAATTTGGGATCCATCACAATTCTAATTAAGGATTGACGTTTCTGATATTTCAAAAGTCAAAATAGAGCTCTTTCTTGAAAGAGGTTGTATAATATTCTTTAGTTTCTAGAAACTAAAACTTAAAAACATACCAACTATATAATCAGTTTTATGTAAAAAAATGAAACTGGAATTGATTATTTGTTGGATATACTATATGTTTGTCATATAGAGAGCGGTAACAGGTTATGTAGTCTCACCAAAAGGTGAGAAGTGTTTGTGAGTTAAATTTGGCAACCGTGTTACCCGGTAACCCCACCTTTCTAGAGGTCAGGGGTTCAAGTCTCACCGGAGGTGAGAGGTGTAAGTTAAATTTGCTGTATATAAATATTATATACTTCCAAAAACAGATTATGTAGTGAATCATTGCCCCTATGCACTTTATTGGTCATCACTTTATGGTCAAAATTCATCTTATGAACAAGCTGATTGTGTTTGTTTAACAGGTTAAACAGCCTAGTCTGACCAATTCAGTAAGGTGGCTGCAAATCCAGACCTCCTCTGACCTTGTAAGTTCTCGTAATCATGTGATTCTTGACGGTATAAACTACTATGAACTTATGTATACATCAAAAATGTGAAAGTTTGTTATTGGTATAATGATGGATTTTTTAGCACAAGTTTATTTGCTTATGAACAAAGAGAGCACGCTTTTTGAATAGTTGAAGTATGCAACTTTAAGAGGGTTAATGATGTCAGAAAGACTTTTCTATAAGATGTCTTTTGTAAATAGATCATATTAGTTTTCTTTTTCGGAATATAATTTTGTGTCCTGTCAAGTTGGAATTATATGTAGTGTATCTTCTTATGTCAATAGATCCTTATGTTCCCAAGTCTGCCTTTAATTAAGCAATATAGACCAAAGGGTCTTTGGCCTAGCGGTATCTGGCTTGCCGGTAGAGCCTAGCCTCGTGGAAGGTCAGGGGTTTAAATCTCACCAAAGATGAGGAGGGTGCCTAAGTTCATTTGTTGTATATAAGTATTTATATATTTCAAAAAAAAAAAAAAAGAAAAAAAAAAGAACAATAAGAGCACGTTTACAAATAGCAAAATATGTTAGTACATGGGTCAATTGATGACTGGAAAGATATAATCACCTATTCTCCATATTGGATGTGATGAGGGAAACATGATAGAAGATATTTTCCTTTGTTTTATGTACTTTCTGCTAAGTCGAGCAAATGGAAGGAACTTTATGCACTATAGATGTTGGATACCTGGATGTGAATATGTGATAAGGGATCAAGCGTCATTAACGACATTACTACGTCTGTATGGTCTAAAAACCAGTATAAATGTCTCTGTTATCTCTATTTTTTCCTTTGCATGCTTGTTTCTTTTATGCTGTCACCAGCTTGTTACAAAAACCTTTTTTTCCGTATCTAGGTTAGCTGTTATGTGACATGTAACATGACATAATACGACATTTAGATAGAAGTTCAAAACTGTAGCACATATAGTCTTGTATCTGTCAGTTTAAAAACCCTTTTTCAGTTTAACTGAAAACAAATCCATAAAACACTCGTATGCTTCTCATGTTCTGGGACCCATTTGATGAGTAGGTTAGACCGTTAGACGGTAATCATGGTATATATCAGTGCTTTGGTGATTCCCTTCTGCTTCTGCTTCTGCTTTCTAGATAGCTTATAAAATGCTAATTTTGTAGTATACTTCAAAGTGTACCTTTCTTGTAACTTAAAGGTTTGGTGAAGAGCAATACTTGTTTAATTTATTAAAAATTCCAAAACATTCTGACATGTGCTAATGAGCTTTGTCACAGGCAGTAGCATGTAGAGCATATAATACATTTTCAAGTTCTTTTCACTTCTTTATGTGGTTTATAAAGAAATCATGGGACATAGACAAGAACATTGCAATATGATTTCTAAACAAGTCATTGTTTTAGAAGGGATGATATTAAAATTATGTAAGTTAGTGTTTCTTGAAAACAGTTGTTTTTTATAATCTATAATATGACTAGAATACCGAGTACTTGCAAAATTTAGGAAGGAAAGAAAAAATAAAACGGCTGTGCTTAAAAGTAGAATGCAAGCATCTGGTAACAAAGATGGCCAAAGGATAAACTTATGGGCAAAATACTATTTCCTTATAGTCGTAGTGCAAGATTTTAATACGTTTTGGTTTTCATTTTCTTTATTCAGTTGGGTTTGGTGTTTTCACGGCACTGTTATTATATACTCCAGATTGTTCAATAGAAATATATCAAGCCCATTGGAAATATATACATGTATGCATTAACCTGTTTGCTTAATTCTCAATTGAGAATAAGGATTGGAAGCCTTAATATAGTTATTTTAATTCTATGTAGGATCTTCATTCTCAGCTTAAGGAATTGATTCCAGAACAGCAGGTACATGTTCTACATTTATGGTTACGATGTCATGTTCTTTCTACAGTTTCTTTCCCTTTCATGTCTCTTTTACTTGTATTTGTCATTCTACCATGTCATATTCTTTTTGATTTTTGTCATCTTAACTTTCTTTATCATGCACTTTTTTAGTATCTAAATGTCGAAGTATGCATGTAGAATTCTTTTTGCTTGTCATCATAAATTACCTCATATTGGTTGACCTTATACGATCCCGAGGGAGGTGGTAGCATGCAGGGAGCGGTTAAGGTTGGATCTTCTATCATGTCTTTGTGAGGCAGTTATAACTCCTTAAGTAATGGGTTGTTAATTTATCTTTCATTTGCAACTGGCATAATGGTTTTGTGTTGAGTTGCTTAACTAGTGGGTCTGAGCTCAAAGGTCTCGCACTATTATGCACTCATTGAGACTTCCTATTTAATGTTGTCTCTAATACCACAAACTTCAGATCTCTCTTCATGATCATATACGTGTTGAAGCTGATATATAACATGATACTCACAAGTTCACAACTTTGTCATTAACTGTTTATATCTTGTGCAGGAGCGCCTAAAAAAGATCAAGTCAGAATATGGAAAAGTTCAATTGGGTAACATTACTGTCGATATGGTAAAAACATTTCTCGTTCGTTTCTGTTTTAATTTTTTTTGTCTTGTTTGTCATTTTTTATGTTTTTTCCGCTCTCTAGTTTCGTTATCTGTTTTTTTCAGTTGCTGTTTTGTTACTAGGGTAAATTGGGTGTTGTAATTTGTATTCTTTCTCACACTAAACCTCAAAAGTTAAACTAAGTACTTCCAAGAAATAATATTAATTGATTTCATTAGTACGACTATTTCCCTCTACCTTTTATGCTTTTTATAAGCTTAAAATAGTTATCAATTATATGCCATTAATTAAATAAGCTCATATCAACTCTGAAGTTGAAAGGAAATCTGTTTGGATCTAAGTTAATATTTCATTTTTGTTTTGAGAAATTATTGTTATACTTCCTGTTTTTCATACAACATTTTAGTTAATAGCTACTTTCTCTTGTGTTACAAATCTAAAGGTACTTGGTGGGATGAGAGGAATGACAGGTCTACTGTGGGAAACTTCCTTACTTGACCCAGATGAGGTATACACTCTGGTTGCCAATGGAGAGAACATTTTCTCTGTTCTGTACACTCGGGTTATTCTGTATTGAAATGGGCTTCTTTTCTCATAGGGAATTCGCTTCCGGGGTCACTCTATACCAGAATGTCAGAAGCTACTGCCAGCAGCAAAGCCTGGTGGAGAGCCATTGCCTGAAGGTCTTCTCTGGCTTCTTTTGACCGGAAAGGTAGACAACGATTCAGTGATTGTTACATGGTGATCCAGTATCTGCATTTAATGTTGTGTATGCTCGTTCTTAATTTAAAGAAAAGAATGGTGGCTATGAATAACTCTTGCATGGAATGCATTAATTGTTTGTATAACACATTTATCACCACAGAAGGTAGATAGGGTTAGTCTGGTACACACACACACACACATATATATATATATATATTATATTGACCATTCAATTTGTTTTTCGTTGTTTTCCTAAAAAAGGTACCAACTAAAGAACAAGTGGATGCTTTATCCAAGGAGCTGCGCAGTCGTGCCACTATCCCAGGTACTTGGCTTTTCACTTTCTTTTAGTTTGCCATAACTTGATCTCATCATGTTCAGATGCTCAATTATTGTATTTAGTCTTATGAGTGGTTGAATCATTGCCAATCTCCGCATCCATATCATGATCGGATTTTTCCTTACGTATAACCGAAGGAAATCATCTACATTAAAAAATCCAATGAGTTTTAGTTGCACTGGTATAATACTCCAAATCTCCCCCTACCAGTTTAAACTTAGCAAAACCTGTGTACTCTAAGCTAATCAATGAATTTTCCATTATCTCAAATTGGCTGTTTCTTAATTTGACTTTTCTGTTAGCTATGCCAAAAGTGTTTTGCTTTTGCTAAACTCCATTTGTTGTTGCAGATTATGTGTATAAAGCAATCGATGCCCTACCTGTAACAGCTCATCCAATGACACAATTTACAACTGGTGTTATGGCTCTTCAGGTCTGTATGAAACTGTACCTGTTGCATTGCATGTAGTTTGGAGAATTATGATTGAATCAATTAAAATAACATAGATATAAGGAGAGCTATGATTCTAATATACAAAAATATGCTTCTCCTATGGAACCCAAATTTGAACCCTAATATGTTTGCTTTACTATGCAAGTCATTCTGTAGCCTCAATATCCTGCAGTGGTGACTTCAAATACTCTTTTCTAGATTCAATGAAGTTAGATAATGAGGGGGGCAAGCTACATTGAGGCATTAACGGTGCTATTGTTATGTTATTTCTGTTATATCTTAAAATTCAACTACTCATTCCGTCTCAGGTACAAAGTGAATTTTCAAAAGCATATGAGAAGGGGATCCATAAGTCCAAGTGAGTTTCTTTAGAGTATTTATCTGTTGAAATAATTTTTCTTGCTCATGCAGAATTAAATATGTAAAATTTATCTTGCTTGTAGATACTGGGAGCCAACATATGAGGACTCTCTTTCATTGATTGCCCAAGTACCAGCTGTAGCTGCATATGTCTACCGCAGGTATATAAAGGTTTTTGTAGTAGTGCTCGTGAATTCACTGTCGCCTCTTCTGTAGCTTCCTGGAGTGATAAGAGTTGCATACTTATCTTGTAAAACCTAGTTAGTTTGAGTGCCTAATTGGAAGGTTTATGGTTTTGTCTTCCATGCTATGGCAGCATACAAGTATCTATATATATCTTCTTTTTTATTTAAACAAGTATTGAAATTTTCTTCTCTCGGTACTAAGTTTGAATTGACTCGCCTTTTTTGAAGGATGTACAAAAACGGAGAAAGCATACCCAAGGATGACTCACTAGATTATGGTGCAAATTTTGCACACATGCTTGGATTTGATAGTCCCGAAATGCAAGAGCTTATGAGGCTCTATGTCACCATTCATAGGTGGGGTTGGTTTATATTTATGCACTTGTGATGTTTGAGCCTACACCTAAAGTAAATCTGTTTCTAATCGGCATATGAATTGTTGCAGTGACCATGAAGGTGGAAACGTCAGTGCTCATACCGGTCATCTTGTAAGCATTTAACCCATTCCTCATGCAGCTACCTTTTGTAGGTTTCTAGAGTTACACTGTTTATATGGGTTAAAACAAGTATGATTATAGATCCTATCACCGACCATGTGTCTAACTTATGACAATTTTTAATACAAGTCCTCCCAAATGGTTCTCTTTCTGTCATTTTAGCTCTTAATGAATTAGTCACTATGCATGTTCCTTGTCTAACTAGTTTTGATGCTTATTTAGGTTGCTAGTGCCCTCTCGGATCCGTATCTTTCATTTGCCGCAGCATTGAATGGTCTAGCTGGACCCCTCCATGGTTTGGCTAATCAGGTAGCTTTTTGCCGGTGGTGTTTACTTGTTTTTGTTAATATCCCTCCTCCGACTTCTACACAAACACAAATTCCACCATGTTTCTTTCATTATGATCAGAAAATTTGGAAGTAGAATTACTTGCAGTTCTCCTCCTATCATGAAAAAGAATTTTGTTGCTCTCATCAGAAATTTTTCTGTGTAGATTGTGTGATCTGAGCAAGGACTTACTTTTTTCTATCTATATTTGTTTATCTGACAAAAAAAGCAGAAGCACACAGCATTTAAGTTTATGAAATGCTAAAACTAATACATCGCAGAAATCACAGTTTCCATATACTGCCGTTAAATGAGAAGTTCTCATCTGCTGGCTTGGCTGTATAATTATGTCCCACATGGTTTAGTGTTCATATGCTTTTTTTTGAAGTATATAATATTTATATACGGCAAATAGAACAAATAAACTCACACACCCTCCTCACCTTTGGTGAGGTTTGAACCCTTGACCTCCTAGAAGGCCAAGGACTCACATACCGCTAGGCCAAAGGCCTTTTGGTGTTCATATGCATTTTTGTGAAGTTGACAATTGTAACAACCCATTATATATGGTCTTGTATCTTGCTTATCAAGCAATTGTTGCATATGTGAGTGGAAGATATGTTTCTGCTTCACTTGCTCATATGTGAATGTTTTTGGTGCAGGAAGTTCTGTTATGGATAAAATCCGTGGTAAATGAATGTGGGGAGAACATCAGCAAGGACCAACTGACGGACTACGTTTGGAAAACCTTGAACAGTGGCAAGGTAACATGATAAAGTTTGGTTTTTTTTGGATATGCAACAATTTTGTCTTCCTTATAATGGGCATCCATAATTCTTTTTTATGTAACCCCTAGCCCTAAATGTCATTCCGAGTTTGTCGTCTGCCATAGAATAAACCCTTAGGTTTATTCGGTAAAGGCAGCCCTTACCGGGAAAAAGCAAAGTAATCATGCATGGTACATGGCTGTCATTACAAGTGAGCTCTAGTTGTCTAGTTCCGTGCAGACTAGTTTATTTTTTTTCTACCGATGCCATACTTGAATTGGCTATATGGAATACTTTTCGAGCTTGTATCCAAACCTCTCTTAACTAGCTATTTCAGTTGCAGCCTATGCTTCTGTTTTTACTCTTCATTTCTTTGTAATGAATTTATAAGTTGCTACACAGAGTTGTCTGTGTCTACATTCTTAAATTGAAATTTAAATCGGTTCCTGCTGGCAATATATCATTCTACATTAAATGAAATGCTAATCATGTTCCCTGTAATGTATTTTGTTTTATATTCCCTCTGATGTTTTGACTGGATAAAATGTGTATTGTTTTTGGTTTATGCTTTCAGATATATATATATATGCATCTACTTTCCCATAATTTATTATTCGTGAACATAAACCTTTTTCTTCGTGGCCTGTTAAAAACTTGCTTAGAATAACAAACATTCAGTAATACATTGTATCTATTGGATAGCTAATACCATTTTTGTGTTTTTTCACAATAGAAAGCAACTTTGCTACTAATGCCTTTGATTGTTTCAAGTTACTTACTAGTAGCCCTTTTTTAATTGATCCCAAATCGGTTCTTAGTGGTATGTCAGTATATCCATTTTATTTCTCACCTCTCATTCTGAAATACAGGTTGTGCCTGGATTTGGCCATGGTGTTCTTCGAAAAACAGATCCTAGATATATGTGCCAACGAGAATTTGCATTGAAACACTTGCCTAATGATCCTTTATTCCAGCTGGTTAGCACCTACCTGCTATGCAATCAGTTTATTTCACCTCTCTTTGACTGGATCTCGATCTATCTCACTCTTCTCTTTTTCTTTCTGTTAAATTTCTGTAGGTTTCAAAACTTTATGATGTGGTGCCACCAATACTAACGGAACTTGGCAAGGTAAGCTGTTTTTTAGTGCTTCTATCTTACGAACATCTTTAGGTTGCTACTTCTTTGGTTCTCTCTTGAGGAAAACCATGAATCTAGAGCCCGAGGGTATACAAGCAACTTAGGAGCACACTAATGAACATGTAAATAGATGTCTACAATCTGCATCTTATTAATTATTTTTAAATATATTATCATATCTATCATGTATTATATACCTAATCTTGCAAAAGAACTAGATAGAAGTATAATTATTATGAAGACGGTCGTTTCATCAAATTTGATATGGAATTATGCTTGTAGGTGAAAAACCCTTGGCCGAACGTTGATGCCCATAGCGGTGTGTTGCTCAACTACTACGGTTTAACTGAAGCAAGGTATGCAACTTGTAGTATTTTTAATTGATGGTTTCCATAGAAGCATAATCTAATGCTTACAATCTTTTGTTGTTAAACACTGTCAGATATTACACGGTTCTCTTTGGTGTGTCGAGGGCAATTGGGATCTGTTCTCAGGTGACCCCTCTAATTTCAGTACTTTCAATTGGAGTTCATTCTCTAATGCTTTTATTGTTTATCTATTCTGGGCATGTCTTTGTCTTACCGTATTCCTTTTCTTTTAGCTCATATGGGATCGAGCTCTCGGGTTGCCATTGGAGAGGCCGAAAAGCGTGACAATGGAATGGCTTGAAAACCACTGCAAGAAGTCAGCCTAACTTCATTTACCAAAAGGTTTAAATTACATTTTTCCTCATCCAAATAATGATAATAATAATTGCTTGTAGATACACATTAGTTGTACGGAAAGCAGGCGGAGGGTTCATGTATTTGAGTGATATTGTGGTTTTGTGACCGGCTTCCTTTTTTATGGACTGTGCAATAGGAGTAGATGATCCATTGTACTTTGAAATGTACCGTTTTGGTGAGGCCGGATTCTGGTGTTCTTGAGTTCCAACTATGCTGGTTTTCCACAAGTATGGACACATTGTTGTTCTATTTCCATCTTTTTGCAGAATTCTTTCTTTAAAAACCGAGTAAACTCTTGGTTTTGTTCTATTTATACACCGTCAGGGGTGCCCAACTCGAAGCCACCCGATGCCTAATTGAAAAATGTATTACTAGATGTTTGTTATTTTAAACGAAGAACAATGGTTTTAATATAAGATCTAAAGGAAGGTTCAAATAAAAAGCAAAAAAGGTTATAATTGAAAAAGTAAATAGTAAATCTGGAAAAAAAAATCTATTTTATTTTATGTTTTCATCTTATGCATAACCAAACCAAATTGATCCAGGTAAATTAGGTTTTGAAAATGATAAGATATACATAAAACTTTTACCAAAGTGAGGGGTTACATAATTTTTTCATTTGCGTACTTCACTCTCCCCTGGCCTGTCCTATCCAATGTATTCCTGAATGCCTAACGCACCTTTAACAGAATCAAAATTTAGTATGGTCATGATTTGATTTAAGGGCTATTTGACAGTTGCTGAATGGTTTAGTACAGAATGATTAAGTGGTCAGAATGACTAAGAGGCTCTCATGATATAGTGTAAAATGAAATATAATTGTTTGGTAATTGTTTACGATGAAATTAGGATGTTGAATGGTTAAGGGAGACCCAAACAAGATTCACCTTTTAATGATTTAAATGATGTCTCTTAATGAAACTATTAAAGAGGTAAACAAACAACCCTTTAGCTCGGAGTTCTTTTTGTGCTTTCAATTAATACCCAACAAAATTGGATACCATGGCATAGGTTTCTAAGTATTAAACCAAACCAAACAAAGGCAGTATAAAGATAAATCCTGTTTCAAGAGACAAAAATGTTGCTTTTTGAAGATACTGTGAGCTTGCCAAACAAGTTCAGTAAAAAGAATAAAAAAACACAGGTTTCTCAACGTATAAATTATGCTTTTATAAATTCTTATGGACATCTTACAATCATTGCAACACCAACATGGATATTGATCGTTAAATGTAATCCGACACACGAAACCAGATCCGGGTCACAACGATGACATCGAGGGACTTATTTTTGAATGGTTCAATTGAATAGATACGATATATTTATATCCAGAAACAAACTATTATGGCTAATTGGAAGACTTTTCTTCCACTTGATCGTTGTGAACGGCCGATGCTACAAAATTCTGTCGTTCATCGGAAGTTGCAGTGATAACTGGCATCCATACATCGGCAGTACTACTCAACAGCGATTTCACTTGTGGATCAGCGGCTATGGCTGACGATATCATCTCATCCACATCGTCTAGCTTTGCAGATAATTTATCCAACTCCGAAGCTAGTTCTAGCTGACCATTCAACAAAACCACCGTTTCAATTTACTCAAAGAGATTAGCAAGAAATGAGTTGAAATCTGAAACTACCTCGTCAAGAATCGGTGTAGATTTTGAAGGAATTTTGGTAACTTCTAACCCGAGAGCTTTGATTTTAGCACGCAGTTCAACTTCTTCTTGATTAGTCAACGATTCAACCTGCACGGGTTTGATCGTAAGGCTCAAGCTATCGACATCACCAGGGTGGCATTAGTGTCATTGGACAAACAAGTCTAAAAAACATAAAGATAACTACATTTAACAAAACAAAACGAGCTCAGTATACGGGTCAAAATAGGGAGGGATGTATGTAGACCTAGCCTATACCCCAAAGAGTAGAGTGGATGTTTCTGTCAAAAAGTGTGTGAAGCAGAAAGTTTGCTCAAAAAGTCCGAACAATCAGAAACATGGTAAGGTTAACTACATTGTTGACAGTATTAGGGACCCAACCTGAGACTTGGCAAGCTACATCGAGTAGTAGTTCAGACCCGACTCAATGTACAAACTGAATTTCTTTGGCCACCAGAGGGATCGTAACAGAATTGTCTTGGTATGGTGTGACAAGTAAAAGGCACATGGGACACACGTTTTGGATCTCTTAACACTCAAATACACTTTCTATGTCTAACATTCTTTTGCTACTATTTCCCGCAGCCTGAGATTGGTTAAGAAAAGCCCGGGACCAGAAGGCCTGGTTAGGGTCCAATGGTCAGGCATTCAGATAAGGGTTTTGGGTTAGAACCATTCCAGTAAAGGACCAGTTAAGGCTAGAAACTGGAACCAGTTAAGGCCCGGTCAAAGGACCGGCTTTTTAATAAGCTTGCTATATTTACCAGATGCCCCTCAAGGGTCATTTTTTCCTTTTGCATCCCAAACGGTCATATTTCCATTTATTTTTTTGCTATTTTACCTCTCTAGATGGTATGGATAGGTGGGTGTTTGTAATATTGTTCTTACAAAATCTAAAAAACACTCAAATCTCAAAATTGCCCTCAAATTATTGCAAATTTTAAGATAATATTACAATAATATGTTGTCCTTTAACATGCGACGTTGAAGTTCTCCATATGGTTTGCCCGATTCATATATTTGCGTCATGTCTATGGATTAATTCATAGATATGGGCGATGATAAAATGGACACTTGGGTTTGAAGTTTTTGGTGAATAACAAATTATTTAAATTGCTTAAAATTGTTATTGAATCTTATAATTGCAAAAAATAATATTTCATTCGATAATGCTTCTAATAATACTTCATCTGTTAAAAAAATCAGATGAATATAGACAATGGAGTTGCCATTACATTAAGCCAATAACTCTTTCAACTCACCATCACAAACAGGTATACTTGACACTAAAATTAAGCCAATATACTCGTTTTTAACACATGAAGTATCATTAGAAGCATTATTGACTGAAAGTATATCCTGGACTTGTTATCAGAAGTTAAGTGAAGATCATATGCACATGTGAAGGTAGACCAAATCCTGAAATACTTGAAGAAGAATCTTATTAAAGAGACCAATAACGAACATGTGAAGGTAGACCGACATTTTATTAAAGAGAATCTTGAAGCCAAGTTTAACCAATTCTCATTTGTCAAATATGAAGATTTGATGACATATATTCTTACCAAAGTTGTGTGTAGCAAGAACTTAAGCAAATCACTTGACAAGTTGCGCATTAGACACTTAGACAATTATATGCACCAACTCTGTCTCTTGAAACAAATGTAATGTCTGTGTACATTCTATCCCACCTACCTTCGGGTGGGATATACTAGGTTTATTTGGTTTGGTTTACAGTTATATGCACCAACTTGAGGGGGAGTGTTGGTACGGTTTGTGTTGGAAAGATTGTAGGAGTTAATAGTGGATGTGTTAAAAGGGTAAACAATAGATTTAGAATTTTCTAGGCTCAATATACTTCGTAGTGCTGATATAGGCAATTCCAAACGGCTACATGTAGCTGCCCACCTATGCACCGTATGAACAAAAAAGAAAAAGAATTTACTTACCCTAGATGACATGATATACTCACATATTCTAAAACACTTACATTCTTTGCAATAATTACCAAGGACTCCAGGTTGGTATTAGCTGAAGAATGTCATAGACTCCGCAATAATAAGTTTCCATTCGCACATAGAAATTTTGACATCAAGTAATTACGCAAGAATGTTAATCTAACCATCCAAGTATGCAACTCAATACATCATGGTCAATAAGATAGCCTAATGTCATAACATGAGTAGGTGGTCTTCCCTATCTTAGCCTTTTGACACCTTAATCCCTTGGGATTGTTGTGTACATTCCCAACTTGATCTCTCCCCTTCTGGCTTACAATGAGACCCTTGAATCCTTAGTCAAACAAAAAGTGCCAGTTCAATAAGCCCTCGTCAGAGACTCCCATCTAAGTGCATCTACACCAATGTAATATTAGTAATCTTTCAAAAGTGTCATGTCATGTTTTGTAATTATCCTCTACCAATACAATACCATACATCTTTCAAAAGTGGAAAGATGACTGGTATTACATTGGTGTGGATGCACTTAGATGGGAGTCTCTGACTAGGGCTTATTGAACTAGCACTTTTGAAATTATCCCCTACACCAATGCAATATCATACATCTTTCAAAAGTGGGCCCTACGCCACATCAACAACTATTATATAATTTATAATACACCAATGCAATACCATACATCTTTCAAAAGGGGGTTTGGAAGGCTCTTGAAAGACCCGTGTGGATGGTCTAATATTTGTAAATTCCTTGTCCATCATAATTGAGATTAAGCTGAGTTAGAATTCTAGTAGGATTAGACGTGTATTAGAATCTGTAAACGCTTCATTAGCTTTAGAGTTAGGCATATCGGGCTACGTTTTAATGTTCTTTATTCTCCATATAGTGAAAAGCCTCATTGATCACTTCTGGTTGACATACCCCCGATGGGTGAACCACGAAAAAGTGTACATTCAGTTTGTGATTCTCCATTTCTTTGTTTGGTCATTTGCAACATTGAGAAAAATGGCCAATGCTGCTCACCTTCCTACGGTCCCAACCTTTTTTTACATAATAAAGAATATTCTAATTCAAGTTGGGACCTTCCTATAATCATTAGTTACTTGATGAGAATACAATGATCACATGTTTTGGAACTCCTATTCCAAATTTGAAAGCAAATGAAGCACCTAATCCAATTCCAGGCCTCTAATTCCATGATTCCATAAATTACCTAATTGACAACAATCATAATAGATCAAATCCACCCATAGGATCAAAATCCCTTCAAAATATCAATGCGACGTGACATACCCAGATCATAGAATTCATCAAAATGCAATAAATTGGTCAAATTCGAGTAGATAGATATAAACTAAAAGCTGAAACAAACCCAAAATTTATATCCACATAAATACACAGATCACTAAATTCATCATCATCCCATTAAATTATTAAAGAAAATCGTTAATTTTAATCTACAAAAAAAAAAGGAAATTTGAGAATTTGTTATAGAAAGGAAAGAAGATTGGTATATGAGTTTGAAATGTTTGTACCTGTTGCAAGAGATTAGAGAGGAGGCCAAAGAAGGGAGTATCAGGGAGTGATGACGTTGGATTGCCTTCTTCACCCATTTCTGGTTTCTTGTTCAGATTTAATTCTCTGGTAATTCGATTTTGTTCTTCGTTTTTCCCCTCCGGTGATGAAGGTTTGTTCGCTGATTTTTTTATTCAATTCCTTAAAGATATGAATCTCTTTAAAGAGACTAAGGGGCTGTTTGGCAGTTGCTGAATGATTTAGTTCAGAATAGTTAAGAGGTTAGAATGGCTAAGAGGATCAGAATGGTTAAGTGCTGAATGAAACAA